CTGGGGGTGAGCAGCAGCACAAATACCCAAGGAGCAATGTCAGTCTGAGCAGTAAGAGCAGCAGCAACAAGGTTAAGGAGACTGAACCTTGGGGTGAACATCAACAGAGTGGAGCTCAATCTAAGGGCGGAGCTCTGGAGGAGATGTCTGGACTGAAAAAGTGACCTAGGCTTCGCTGCTCAGGAACCAGGTTCGCACACGGAGTGAGTAGTATCTGGAGAGAAACAATGTACTTACTTTTTGTAGTTATAGTCTGCTAGGAATAATGAGCAGGAGTGGGAAACCTGAGTTTAGTAATGAATGGGTTATTGGGTTATTGTCTGTAGTTGATAAGGTTGATTTAGTTGACAAGGTTGAAAATGGCAGGAGAACTTGGCGCCATGGAATGCTCCTCCTGCAATAGGTGGGAAATCAGGGACACTTCAAGTATCCATTCTCATTACATATGCAGGAATTGTGTTCAGTTGCAGCTCCTGATTTGCTGGATGCTGTGCCTGGGCTCTCTGTGGAGCATCCAGGAGGCTGGGAATGTTGTGGATAACATTTTTAGTGAGCTGGTCACACCACCAGTGAGTGTGGGTAGGCAGTGCGGGCGTACCCTCTGGCCATTCCTTTACCAAACAGGTATGTCGCTTTGGGTACTGATTTTGGGAAGGGAGGGGTGGGGTGTTTCCTCCCTGGTGCCAGGGTCAAGGATGTCACTGAGCATTCCATTAGCTTTCTTCATTATTTTATGCACCTGTTTGTGGCATTTCAAAGACCTACGCGCCTGAACCTCTAAGTCTCTTAGGACATCTGCTGTATTAACTTCATACCATCTGGAAAGTACTGTAATCTCTCCTTTTTCAGTCCAAAATGGATAACCTCACATTTGTTTATGCTGAATGCCATCTGACACAGTTTTGCCCATTTACCTAGTCTATCAATATCTCTTTGGAATTTTGTGCTGTCATCTACATTTTCTATAATGCTGCCTTACTTTGTGTCATCAGCAAATTTTACCCTTCTATGCCATTCTCCAAGTTGTTACTAAATAATGTGAATAATTGAGGCCCTAACATAGATCCCTGTGGGACACCACTGGTCACATCTTGCATCTTTCGCCCTTCCTAAAAAGTGGATTGATATCTGCAGTTTTCCAACTTAGAGGGACATCTCTGGTATTTAGGCAACTCTGAAAAATTATAGTTAGGGCATCTACAAAGTGCTTTCCCTCTTCCTTTAACACCCTCAGATGGAAACCGTTAGGTCCTGGGGATTTGTTACTCTTTAATTCCATTAATTTCCTCATTACCAATGTTTAACTTAATTAATTTTATTCCATCCCAAATAAGGTGTTTCACAATGTCACCAAATAGATTGATTATCAATTTGTAAATCATTCCAACACACGCCATTGGAGGTGGTAAAAGTGGGAGGGATTTCTGGTCAGCCACATGATAGACAGGACACAGGAGCCTCCATCTTAGCTCCAGGCTACATACAAATAAAACAGCACGGTGCATGCTGCAGCAGTAACTGGGACTCCCTGGGGAGCTGATTGGCATTTATTGAGAATCACGTGATGCCAATAGCACAACATTTGATTCATGTTCTGGCTGGGATGGATTCAGGATCTGCCTCTTACCCTACCGATGGTGGAGATTAAACCACAAATGGTTTGCATGTGTCCTAGGTTAGAGAACTGATGAGTAAGAGTCTGATATAACCTAAAAGATCAAATTGAAACTGAGGAAACTCAAAAAAGGGAGAAAAGATTTTTCTCAGTTTAAAAATAAAGTTGTCACTAACCCTTCACACTTATGTGGCAGGTTATGTTACTGAAGATTATTTGGCCAGTGTACCAGTAGAAACTCTGATTGATACTTAGCATGTAGTGTAAGGAACAGCAATAAGACAAAAGGTAGTGGTTACGTGATGTTGGTTGAAGAATTAATACTGGTAAGGGCACGAGGAAAATGTTCTGCTTAAAGACAAGAATAAGATTTTACATTTGTCTGCGAGTTAGCAAAGAGAGGAGTGTGATTGAGTGGAACCCGATTAATGCAGCAAGTTGAAGCTTGTGGAGGCTGGGAGGAAGCATTAGATAGCTCAGTCTGGAGACAACTAACATACAAGTGAAGGTTTTGGAAGCAAAGGGATAGATATAATGTAAGTTGTAAAAGTGGTTTTGGGAGGGAGGATATGTGGTTTCTGAAACTAAGCTCAGGCAAGGAACAGTCTGATTAGCAAGTGAGACAGATGTATTTTAACAATGGCTTTGATCTTCCAAACTTTGTCTTGGAATCAGTTATAATTCATAAAAACATTCATAACAATATTGTAGTTGCAATATGGAGGAAAACCAGAGCTGGTTTCAGTAAGCATGTTATAGTTGACCTCATGACTATGGATTATTGCTGAGAGAAAGCATGTAGAAGAGGAAGGGGAGAGTTAGATCTTTAGGGCACTCAAACTCATAAGAACATAAGGAATAACGGCTTTTTATAAATTTACTTTATGTTCCTGCTCTGTCATCTTTGATGACTTCTGTAATTCACTATCATCCCCAAGTTCTTGTTTACATATTGAACTTCTTGGATAAGAGAAGTCAAATGTTCCATTAGGAATCATTGTTTCAGGATCATGACTAAACATTACTCAAAGATTTAACTTCCCAAATCTCTCTATTCACTTAGCCTTTGTGCAATTTAGAAAATACTCATGCTTTGTTGATCCAAAGCAGATAACCCCACACTCCAACAATGGGCAGAAGTATGGAAGGTGGAGTTCAGTTAATCTATTAATGTCCCTTTTAAACTTTCTGCTTCTGTTTACTCTTTACAGTTTACTCTTATACAACTTTCTACTACTGCATCCAAATCATTTATACATATTGTGAAAAGCTGGAGACCCCAGAATTCTGGGAGATATCTGCCAACTTGAGTACGTACCTTTAATTCTTTTCTATCCCCTCCCGCTTTATCCAATTTCTATCCAAGCCAATAAGTTGTTTCCAACTCCATGCACTTTCCTTTTATATGGAATCCTTCGAATGGTTTCTGGAATTCCGTATAAATAAAACCATAAGTGCTACCTAACTACTATATTAACTATTTCCTTTAAAAAAAAACCTTCATTAGAAATACCTTAGCCTTTACAAATCTATGCTAGCTCTCTGTTCAAACTTTTATTCATCTACACCAGCCAGTTAAGTGGACAACAATTAACGGTGCCATTTGATACTGATTAATTAATAGATGCATTTCATAGATGCACTTATCAGTTAAACTGAAGTTATAGAAATGTGTGGAGAATGGGATTACACAAGCTGATTTGCAAAAAAAAAGCAAAGCTTGATATTTTCAATAACCAGTTTCTGCAGTAACCAGGGAAATTAGATGGGTTTTTGAAGAGCAGAGACTGCTGGACATGGTGAAAGAGTAAATAGGAAGGGTTAGTCAATAAAAAGGGGATGAATCTATTGGGTCAAATAGTCCTTTTCTGTTTCTGAAAATCCTTATTTTAATAATCAGATAACTCAAACCATTCATAAATGAGATTCAAATTGTGAAACTACATAATTAACAAATAAATTCTGACTCTGGTCTGTCTAGGTTTAAACTTGACTGTGAGCCATGGCTCTGTGGTAGCACCCCACCCTCTGAATTATGAGGTTGAGGCTCCTACTCCCAGAACTTCAACCCATTATCCAGGCAAACATTCCAGTCCAGTACGGATGGCGCAGCACTGTCAGTACTCTTTCACACAAAATGTTAAACCAAGGCCCTTACTGCCCTATCAGTACACGAAGAAGATCCCACCACATGAAGAAGAGCAGGCAAGTTATCCCTACTATCTGTCGATGTTGATTTTCAACCAACAACAGTAAAACAGATTATCTAGTCATCATCTTATTGCTGTCTTTCAGCAACACCAATACACTTCTCTTACACACAACTCTCTAGTATGTTCACAATGCTCTTTCTCATTCAAATATATACACAGACATTGAAAGGGTGAGAGGGGAAATATTTTAAATTCCTTAATCTGAGGGTTTTACAGAGCCAGGAGCTGCTGATGCATGTCAAAGACCCGAGGTGGGTGCTCTTGTAATCTGGAATAACAGAGAAAGGCACCAGTGGCACTTGAAAGAATAGAGTAACTGGGACAAAGTAAATGGAAAAAGGAGGAAAAACTGGCACACACGAGGAGATATACATTGAACATTGACAACGTTTTTTTCTAGCTAACCTTTGCAAAAGTATGCTCAACTAGCAGAGTCTGGAAGGATGTGGATGAGACAATTTTGCAAAGCAATTCCTGTTGAGCCACAAACCTTTTGATCCAGATGTCTGTCTAGGCCAGCACTGGAGAGCTTGGCCCAGGTTGGCTCTTAGGCACTTTTCAATCTTGAAGTATTGTCCTTATTGTTACAGATAGATGAAGAATTGATGATTAGTTTCTGACAATGACTGAATGAATTACTTGGCTCAGTTTATACAAACCTAAGACTAATTACATAATTGTGTCATCTTCAATTGCCTCAATGTCTCAGTTGCAATATTACATAAAAAACATTTATGGATTTACGTCAAAAATCTCAAACGTAAGTGTAAGTTTTCGAGAGTGTTGATTTGATGTAGATTGAATGATTAGAAGTTTCAGCAGAATGACAACATGAAAAAACTGCTACTTCTCTATAAACTCTTAGCTGAGCTTAGTTTTCCGGTAGTTCTGGGATGCAAACAGAATTTTCCAGCACCCTCTGGCGATTTTATACATCCAGATTGTGTTCAAAATATCCAGAACAACACTGGAAATGATCCAAGCACACTGTGGCCCAAGGCCCAGGCGGTGGAAGCCTGCTGTCCCAAAGGTAGAAGCCATTTGAAGGTAGTAGGACGGAATCACAGCAATGCGCACAAGGAAGAAGCTCACAGTCATGGCGACACCATTCAACACAACCAACCTGGCATTTCTGGGAAACTGCAGAACCTCAAAGAACCACCTGCACTTAAACACAGAGTGCATTATCATTCAGTGGTACATAGACTCCCAACACAGGGGCAGCACCTAGACATGCACACTTCCCACCACCAGGGGCAGCACCAGCCACTCACACTTCCCACCACCAGGGGCAGCACCTAGACACGCACACTTTCCACCACCAGGGGCAGCACCAGATTATCCTTGGGAAGCTTGTGAATGACCTTTGTGACCATAGTGCACTATCCTTCCCTACTATTTAAACGTTCATTATCCTGACCAAACCATCCTCCTCCTTCAGTTAGCAGAATATATACCCTCACCCAATCCACTGAATTTCCTAGAACAGCAAATTACAAGTTCTCCACCTCCTCTGCTGCAGGTCGATGCTGTTATATACTTTCTATATATACTGTTATATATTTTCTGAAGAAGGGTCTAGGCCCGAAACGTCAGCCTTCCTGCTCTTCTGATGCTGCTTGGCCTGCTGTGTTCATCCAGCTCTACACCTTGTTATCTCAGATTCTCCAACATCTGCAGTTCCTACTATCGCTGTTATATACTTACTTCCTTTTGGCAATATCATTCAAAAATACAACGGGATCCCCATGTTCATTGATGACATCCTTCCCTTGCTCATTGCCTCTACTGCCTGTGTTGTCAGACTGCTTATCAACATCATATTTTGCACGGGGCTGGAAGTTCTGCTGGAATTTATATCGATGAAACTTTGGGAAGACTGAGGTAATTGTTTTTTGCTCCCACCACATATCTTGTTCTCTAGTCACAGATTCCATCGTCTTCCCTGGCTATTAATTGAGGCTGAATATGTGAAACTGGAGTAGGAATGTCCTTACAACCTTAGTGAGCCATGAATTCAGTCAGAGCAGGGCATGTCTTCTACCTCAATTCCACTCTCCCTTCCCTTTTCCTTATATCCCAAAAATCATTTGATCTCAGTTTGGAACTCTGAAATTTCTCCTCATCTCAGTCCTTAAAATGGGGTGACCTCTATCTTGAAACTATAACCCTTCTAGATTCTCTAATAACGGGAAACAGCCTCTTGGCACCTATCCTGAAAGGCCCTCTTAAGAATTCTATTCCTTTCAATATCACATCTCATTGTCTGAACAAGCAATTCATAATTTTGGTGTCTGAGCTTCTAACTAAAAATCCACTCCATCACCAAGACTTCCTACCTCCACTCGAGCCTCACGAATTAGCTGCTGTCCCCTCATCCTACCTTTCTTACCAGGAGGTGCCTACAACATTACCCCCTTGCTGGCCTACCACATTCCATAAATTTTACTTTATTTTGATTGTAAAAGGTCCTCTTCACCAGTCTTCTCTGTGCTTGCTAGCCGACATCATCTCCTGACCTTGAGATACATGGGCTTTAAAATTCTCAACCTTGTGTTCAAAACAATCCATGGCCACACACCTCCCTATCTCTGTAACGTTCTCCAATCTAACGTCCTCCAAGATCTAAAAGCTAATTCTTGTCTCATACACATTCACCAAATCATTGGCCCCATCATTGCAGGCTATGTCATCAATTCCAAGTTCTCAATTTTGCGCCCCAAATCTCTATCTTCCCATTGCTTTTCTTCTTTAAGGTACTCTTTTAAACTCTGTCTTCCAGCAGGTTTGTGGTCATCTGACACAATATTTTGTGCTTTGCCTCCGTAAATCTTGATTTTGCTTGTTTGAAACATCTTGCAATGTCTATGGTGTGAAAACCACTATTTATTGCAAGTTATTCTGTATACGTGTGGTAAAGCCATAGTAGGTTCCTGTAATTCTTTAACTGTACAATGTGAATGGGAGATGATTTAAACAGAGGAAAACATGCATTTTTCTTCAATATCGGGCACAACCAGCTTAAAGCAAGAGCAGGATGTGTGCACATTTGTGCATCTTGAAATTTGTTCACAAAGCTTCTGGAACCCAGTTTTGCAGTCCCATTAAATTCCTGAACTGAGGCTCTACTGTCCTGTACCTGGGCTCGTCTCCCTCTAGTATCCTTGTTCTTGGAGTCATACCCCTCAGGCGTCCTTGCACCCGGGGTCCCTGTAAGTAGGGTGGTGTGCCGATATGTTCATCTACCCCAGGTCATGTCCCTATACTTGGGATTGTGCCCCTTTAGTGTCCTTGCACCAACGGACCGTGGCCCTCTAGTGTCCTGTAGCTGGGGTTGTGCTCCTCTAGTATCCTGTTCCTATGGTTACGCCCCTTTAGGGTCCTGTACCTGCGGTCATGACCCTCTATGATTCTGAACCGGGGTTGGATGTCTTAAGCTGATTGGTTAAATAGAGAAACAAAGAGTGTTACAGAAGGAATCCCCAACTTACCGCTGATTTACAAATGGTGTGGACAGCTCGGCAATCAGGCGAAAATTAGCAAAATATGGAAGGAGCCCTTGTCCCTGTGAAGTAAACAGAAGTGTTATAAATAATCTTAGGTAAGGATGAAAACGGATATAGAGGAAAATGTCAGGTTTATTCCTGAATCTGTTAATCATTGATGATACCTCATTAACTCTGCACTTACCAACACATACTGGTATGCATAGAGTGCTGCCAAATGGTGACTGAGGAAAAAGCTGTCACCCAACGTCTTCCAGTGCCAAATGAGAAGCATTAAATCTGCAACGAGAGCAGTAGTGTGAAATGGGCAAAACCAATGGGTAGGAAATCCAGTGCAAAATGGACAAGGCTCGTGACTAATAAGAATGCAGAGCACAGAAACTAAACAGGCTCAAAATCTGCACCACCAATAAAAAAGCTACAGATTTCTAAAAAAAAAGGTCTTTTAACATCCACCCTCGGAGTACTTGATTGGGACAGTGTAGAGTTAGCTTTAATTTCAGTTTAAAAGAGTATAACTTTACTCTGTATCTAACCCTATGGTGTACTTCTCTTGGACGTGTTTGATGTGTGCAGTGTACAAGGCCTGGGAGTGTTTGGTGGGGAAAGTGCAGAGGGAACTTTAATCTGTATCTAACTGTGCTGTACCTGGCCTGCGAGTGTTTGCTAGGGACAACTTCAAGAAAGTCTTATTTTCAGGTAACTTTCAGTTGAAAAGTGTAAAAAGGATTTTAGTTTCAGTTTAACAGAGTAGTGAAAGCTTTACTCTGTATTGAACCCCATGCAGTTCCTTTCCTGGGAGTATTTGATGGCGACAGGGGATCTATCTTCAGTTTACTTTCAGATTAAAAAAGCAGAGGTACCTCTACTTTCTATTTAAAAGAGTAGAGAGAGTTTTACTCCGTATCTAACCCTGTGCTGTCTCTGACCTGGGAGTTTTTGATCGGGACAATGGAGAAGGAGCTTACTCTGTATCTAACCCCATGCCGGACCTGGCCTGGGAATGAGGTTGTTGACTTGCTGGCCGAGCTGGCTTGTTCTCTTCCAGACGTTTCGCCACCCTGCTAGGTGACAACATCAGTGGAGCCCCCAATGAAGCGATGTTATTCTACTCTGCTTGGAATTTATACTGTCTGGTCCGTTATGGTGAGTACTGTCATTTCCGGTTTTGATCTGTATGGGTTTGAATATGGGGTTCTCCACCCATTATGCAATCAACAAACATATAGAATTGGACCCCATATACAATCCCATACATCTGAACAAAAACAAGCCAGCTTGGCAAGCAAGTCAACAACCTCACCCACAACCCGAGCTACAGATCTTTGCCAAAACTCTGGCCTGGGAATGTTTGATGGGGATAGTGCAGAGGGAGCCCATGTTGTATCTGCCCCTGAGGAAAGAATGCAGCGGGAGAAATTATCAGCAGCAGTAGAAGCTGAGATTGATTTGCTGAAGGAAGACAGTCAAAGTCATTTGTTCAAACTCTGACTGGAAATGTGTTCTATAATACTCACCATTAATCAAGTAGCCTGAAGCGATTGCTATATTAAGCTTCACTAGTTTGGGATCCCCCCTGTAGGACACAAGAGCAAAAACTTCAGTTTAAACATTCTGTCACTGCTCAACAATTGAATCAGCTAAATTCACTAGACAATCAGATAACAGTGTTACTTGGAGGCCAGACAGCTTTGAGTGGCTCAGTTATGGATTCTGTCATCTATGAATTGAAGTACAGCATGTGAATTTTGCTGATTCAATTGTTGAGCAGTGACAGAGAGTGTTTAAGTTGACATATGTAAACAATTTAAGGATATATGTAAATCAATTGGCAACATTCTGAGAATAGAGGGAAATAGAAGCCTTATGTGAAACTGATTTCCTGGTGCCTGATCACACAACGTTTTAGGGCTTTATTCTTATTATATCCATAACTACAATACATGTATGTCTGTTAGTGAGGCCTCAAACTAACCAGGATCTGAGTCAATGCACAGGATCCCTGCTGCTGACTGGGATGCCTGGAAGATGACTATCAGGAAGGGTACGGACAAAGTAGAGGACAAATGAAACAACTAGATGGCAAGGCTGCTGGAAGGAAAGAACATTAGTCAATGTCAGGCTGATGTGCTTAAGTATGTCCACTGAAGAAGGGAAGGTCACTCATGATTGGCCAATTCTGTCACACTGCATGACGTTCAATCCAGAAGTGACATTAACCATGGTGCAGTCCATCACATCCTGAGGTGGATGGATATGGTCAGATATATCCCATCACTCATCATTCATTCCCATCGGACTGAACATTGTTCATTTCCCAGTTTTCCTTTTTCTCTTGTGGGCTGCTGATGCTTCAGGGAGAAGACCTTCAAGTGGCCAATGAGTGAGTTCAATGAAAGAGGTCAGTGCTACCCAGTTTGGCTCAGTGCTTGAGTATCTGACTCTCAGGATTGTGGTTTCAGGACCCATAGTGGACAAAAGTTGCCATGTCACGGTGACCCTGAGCTGTCTTTTCAAAACCCCAGCAGGATTGAGGGGTACAATTTGAGCTGACAGCAGAGCTTAATCATCTCTGTAGAAACCAAGGACTGATGCAGGAAGTTTGCTGATTCCATAGTCATCGGGAGACGATATTGCTTTGCATCACATCAACACCCGGAGTCACTGTGGGGCAATGTATTTGGCATTGCTTGTCACAGTCAAGTTGGGAGAGGGTGAGCTAACATCTCTGTGCCATTCCTGAGTCTGAATTTAAAAGAAAGGCAATATTGCTAATTTAATTAATAAAAACCCTTTGTTTTTATTCATTCATGGGATGAGGCAGCATTTGTTACCCATCCCTAACTGCCCAGAGGGCAGTTGAGAGTCAACCACATTGCTGTGGGTCTGGAGTCACATGTAGGCCAGACCAGGTTAGGATGGCAGTTTCCTTCCCTACGGGACATTGGTGAACCAGATGGGTTTTTCCGACAATCGACAATGGATTCATGGTCATCATTAGACCCTTAGTTCCAGATATTTTATTGAATTCAAATTCCACCATCTGCCGTGGTGGGATTCGAACCCGGGTCCCCAGAACATTATCTGGGTCTCTGGATTAATAGTCCAGTGATAATATCACTAGGCCATCACCTCCCCCTTTTTTTTTTTAACCTTACTGTATATACTTTGGTGCAACCAATAAGCCAATCAGGTTCCTTCAGTTAACAACTAAAAAAAGAGTCCTTCCCCATTTATATAATATTTAGAGCTCATGCTCTCATGGCAGTCTATCTAACTGTTAGTGTAAGAAAAGGAATTTTTTTTAACATAACTACTTGGTCATTGGGCTGTAGATTCTGTCTCCATTCAGAGGATGTGTCACTCATAAATGCAACACTTTAGATCTAGGCCAGTATCCTTTTGTAAAGAACACATTCCAAAGCAAAATATTCATCGTGAAATCATATTGAGCCAAATTGGATAGCCCAAAACTCCATTTGTGGTTAATTTGCCAGTCATTCCCACTGGAACAAGAGCAAATAAAACAGAAGGATGCCCATGATCGGTTAAAGTTCTGAACTGATAACTCCGGATTTGTTTGACCCATCCTGTGACCATGCTAACCAAGTGGAGTGGGGGTAGGCCATGCTACAGCTCAAAATCACCCGCAAGCCATCATTCCGCAGAGATCTCTCAGTGAAACCCTGCATATATTGCAAAACCTGTGAGAACTATAAAAGTAGTGTGAAAATGACACAAAGTGAAATTGAATATAGGAAGTGGAAAACTGTGACATGAAGCACAAAGCAGACATTGTGAAGGAGATAGATTCCACCAAGTTTATAAACCATTCTGAAGTATAAAGCAAAAGTCTTGTCATAGTTCACAAGCAAGAAAAAGCTGAAATTGGCTGCCTCTGCTAACATAGTTCAAGGCAGTTTCAGCAGAGAACATTGCAATCGTCAGTCCAATCCTACCGGAAAGGCGTGTCACTGAGCAAGGAGGCTTGGTCACAAGGAGGTCATCTGCAGTGATGGGAGGCTGACAAATGTCTGACCGCTTACCCACCTGAAGCTGCAACAGCCACAGGATGCTCTAGGATTCTGCACTGCAGCATGAAAACACAGAAAACATGTCTGCTGCAATGATGAAATGGCAGACTGCATTGCATTTGTCTGAAGATAGCTCACACTTCAGATCTAATGCCCAACATTTTTCAATACCTTTGCTGTAAAAGGGCAAGCCATTGTAATGTGTGAACATATTGAAAAATAAAAACATTTTTCACATACTTCACGGTGTTTTGTTTTTGACATACAGCTTATTTGTAGACAATGCTAATTTGCCTAAGGAACTCCTCAGCTATCTGAAAACTCCACTTAACATGAATTTGTGGGCTGGATCCAGCAATTTGACTTACTGCTTTAACAGCAGCAATACCGACAGTCATTGCAAAGGGGATGTGCTCTGCATCACCGGACACCCAGGGACAAGAAGAGCAGAACGTCCAGCTCACGAGACTGAATCAGAGAAAGGCAACCTTTGCTGTCCTAGGACTAGATTAAACTTCTAGTAAAGTCCCCTCCCACTCCTTTGATCTTAGTTAATGTCAGTAAACGGGTCAGTATTGTAAGTAGAACTTCCAGCCTCTTACCAGATATGGTCTTTGTTGACAAGATCATCGAACCAAAGGATATATAAAGCTAGTCCTCCAACCACAACAGCATGAATTGTGGAGACACATCTAAGGAGATACAATGAGAAATAAATGAATGGAGTAATTGCAAATGTAAATCAAGTCAGTATGTTGTCTAGGTAAAATCTGTTTTGATTGGTCCTAATCCTATCACACAGTTAAACAGTGTTAGATGGTCAGAATAGGTTTGCGCACTGGGGATGCACAAGTTCTTCACAATCCTTAAAACCGCATTGTTTCTTTTTAAGAGGGAGGTCACTTTCTAACCAAGGCAGCAATATGCCTACATTAAGAACCACAATTCTTTTTTATAATTAATATTTTTTCTATACTGCACAGATTTTGGTGGTTAACTTTAAAGCTGATCCGTTCTAAATGTCAGAGTAAAGGACATCAAAGTAAGTTTGTTATTCAATAGAATATTTATCATAGTTATATCTAAGAGAACAGATTTTCCACGCACTAGTCTCTTTATGATTCAATTACACTCCAGTTTTTAAATCAAAAATAGACACTTATATGTGACATTTTAAAACTGAACTTCAACATGATACAACTTTGTAGGATGATTATGTTTTAAACTATCGCTTTTAGGTAAAATGGAATAGCTTGGAGTGGAGATGTGGCCTGTGAAATCTGTTTGGAGACAAGCCCAAGTGATCTCATACAAAGTCTGCTCAGAGACAAAACCATGTGACCTGCCTGTTACAGAGACAGAAACGCAAATGGAAGTTTACTAAATGCGAGATGTACATTAACATCTTGATGCAAAGGAGTAAGCAGCTGGTCTAGCTGCGTTGAATTACAAACTCTCGAGTCAAAATTAGAAATCACACAACACCAGGTTACAGTCCAACAGGTTTATTTGAAATCACAAGCTGTTGGAGCGCTGCTTCTTCAGGTGAAGTATGCATAACCTTCATAAAACACTGGTTTTGTCTCAGCTGGAGTACGGAGCTCAGTTGTGGGCACTATACATTGGGAAGGTCATCAAAAGCCTCGCTGAGTGTTATGGCAGAGTTTTATGAAAATTATACCAGGAATGAAGGAATTCAATTAGGTGGCGAGGAAAGGTTTCTAATCCTCACCTACAACATATCCAACAATATCAGCTTGTATTTATAGAATACAAAAAGTAGCCACAAGAAGTGGTATTAATACAGTTGAGCTGAAGTGGAACCAAATAGATAGGTTTAAAGAAGCATCTTAAAAGAGGAGTGAAAGGCAGACAGGGAGATGGATTTAGGGCAGGATTTCTACAGCTTAAGGTCTATCCAGCTGAAGGCATAGCTGCCAATAGTGGAATTAATAAAAGTAAAATTGGGATGTGCAAGAATAGGGGTGCAGAGATCTCGGAGGGTTGTAGGATGTAGGGGATAAAAGAGGGATTTGTAAACAAAAACAAAAAATCAAGAGCCAATGTAAATCTGCAAGAGTAATGATGATGAGTAAATTAGGAAATAGTTAGCAGAGATCAAATTTATGGTGGGTGGCAAGTGGGAGGCCATTCAGTAAAGAGTTGGAATAATCAAGTCTAATGATTACACATTCACTAAAATATGTGCACTTCCCAAGCTCCTACTGTATGACAGGCTCTTGTTTTGATGTACAAGACTTAGTTTGTACCTCAGATAGAATCCACTCTGCCTTATTTCTTCTTATGAATACAGTATAAGTATGCTGTGAACGATACCCACTCTCTATCTGACTCATGCACATGAAGAATACACCTTAAACATGAATATATTTCAGCAACCAGCAGAGGCAGGCAGACTAACTCTGGTGGCAATTTCTGTCTCAGTCAGGAGCAAAGGTCTCTTCAATGGGCAGAGACTGCCATGTATAAAGGTCAGCATTTATCCCCTTCCCTAACCAATGTTGACTCTTGTTGACAATGTTGTCTGTAGATTTCCTTCTCCGAAAGACATTAGTGAACCAGACGGCTTTTTGTTTGAAACAGCAATCAACATTGATTACCCGATTGGCATTGGGCTAGCCTTTTACTGATTTCAAATTTCACTCTGTCATGGTGGGATTCAAATTGAGAACAAAAACAGAAGTTGCTGGAAAAGCTCAGCAGGTCTGGCTGCATCTGTGAAGAAAAAAATCAGAGTGAACATTTTGGGTCTGGTGACCCTTCCTCAGAAGGGTCAAATCTACATGTCAAATCCATTGGCTTGTGGTTCTGGATCACTACCACTAGCCCACTGCCTCCCCAGTCTTTACTGAGACCCTCCACATGGTCCCAGCTCTCAGCCCCCACCAACCGTGGCACAGTGATTCCACTGCTGCCTCACAGCACCAGGGACACGGGTTTGATTCCAGACTTGGGTGACTGTCTGCATGGAGTTTGCAAATTCTCCCCATGTCTGTGTGGGTTTCCTCCGGGTGCTCTGGTTCCTGCCTACAGTCCAAAAACGTGCAGGTTAGGTGGATTGGCCGTGGTAAATTGTCCATAGTGTCCACGGATGTGCAGGCTAGGTGGATTAGCCGTGGGAAATGTAGGGTTACAGGGATAGGCTAGGGGATGGGTTTGGGTGGGAAGCTCTACTGAGGGTCAGTGTGGATTTCATGGGATGAATGGCCTGCTTCCACACTGTAGGGATTCTATGATTCTATGAAATACCTCGAGTTCCATTCAGTTTTCTGTTCCCGAGATAAGTTCTTGTATCCACAGCTGAGCAGAGTGGAGAGACGTGGAGTGACATTATGATATAGGACCTGGAAAACGAAGAAACTGCTGACAACATTATAACACACATCCATTCCAGCTGGTCCCCTGAGGAGAAATCGCAGAAAGCACAGATGTCAGTGAAATGAGCAGTGATTGAAACACAAGCATTCACTCACACACACACCCACTCTCACATGGTAACAAGAAACAATTCAGTCCTGTCTGTTAAGCACGTTACAAGAGTGGACACTGTATTTTAGGAGATGCATTTATAAATCCGTTAAATCTGAGAATGTTCACCACTAATCTGCTTCATGAGTAGAATAAACAGAATAGCCTTGTTCTTGCAACTTCAAACTAATCTGATCAGTTTCGTGATTTAAACTGTAAGACAGCTATTTCCAGCCTGTGCTGCATTAATTTCTGTCTTCAGCAGTTAGCAGAAATGGCAATGTGTAAATGACTCAGCTGCTAAAAAGACTTTTTTTTTTAAACAGAAACTTACAGAAAGAGATCTTTTGTCCCATCATGCCTGTGCTTAGTCTCACTTTCTTGGGACTCAGCTTGACTTCATCAGAAGAATCGGCATGTTGTTAACTTCACAATGCGTTTGTTTGTGCTTAGCTTGATCCCAGCTTTCCTGGTTCTCTCCATGCTGCACTTGATGTTTTCCAACTACACCAATGTTATAGAAAGAAGCTATGCTGATTGTTCTTTTGCATCTCTGTATACCTTGTCTACCTTCTGCAAGGCCACATCCTGGCTCACTTTAATTCTAAACACAGGAACCTGTACTGGCCGACTAGTGTGAAAGTTCTGAACAACAAAGATTTCTTGTTGAACTTCATATTCCACTAGATATTTAGGTCAAAGAGCTTTCTGAAAATATTTCCTCTTCTCAATGCTAGGTGCATCTCTCCTGGTATTGGGATGAAACAGTAGTTCCACTTTATTGTTTGATAAAGATCTTTGGGTGCAGGCAAATTCACACCTCAAATTTCTCTCAAAATGATACATTTTACTCAAACTGTGGGCTTTGCGGCTCCGGCAATCAGCTTCTTTTCTTCCTTCTATAGGAGCTCTCATTCAAATTTTCCTTCTGTCTAGGGCTTGACTTGGAATCATCAGTTTTATCACTATCAGTTGTGATGTGGTGCTCAAGGCATGCAGCTGTCTCAATGAAAACTCTGGATACAATGCACTAGATGGGTTTGCTACCTTCAGTCCTGTGTCAGCTTTTTCATTTCATGGTTTACTCAGATAAGCTGCATCTTTTTGCAACTGTTCAACCCTGAGATAACAGGGTCACATGACAGGTGACATTGAACATGGAGTTAGCATCTTTACCCTTTGTGTGTCATTATGATTTGGGCTGTTGCTCTACATTACTCCACCATCATTCGTATGATCCTGCTCAGTTTCAGAACACCACTTCCTGGGGTTACCATTTATGGTTGCGTGCTTACTTCCCACTCTCTTTACTAATTTGAATGATTGCCAGAATTTTTTCTGTCGGGTCCAGATACTTCATTTGGATGGTTCCTACCCTGTTGTGCTCTTAACTCTCATCTTCATGGATATGGATATTTTGTTTCCTTTACTTCTCATTCACCCTGTTGCTATGACTCTGATAACTTGTTTACCATCATCTTTCTCTGTTGAGCACATCTTTTCACAGTGATTGAGCTTTCAGCCTCTTTCGAGCTGTTTCCAATGTGATTACATCCCTCCTAGAGTAAAACTATATGTACTCTACATGTGATCTCATCAAAGCCTTGCATAGTTGCAGCAACAGTTCCTTGCTTTTATACTTTATTCCTTTTGCAATAAATGTCAAAATTCCATTTGCATTCCTTATTACCTGCTGTACCTGCATACTAGCTTTCTGTGACTCATGCACAAGGACACCCAGATTCCTCCGCACTGAAGCACTCTGAAGTTGCCTTTTTATTCTTCTGAACAAAATGAATAACCTCACATTTATCCATGGTTTAAACTCCATGTTCCAGATTTTTGGCCCATTCTCATCACCTATTCATATCCATTTGTAAATTTCTTACTGCTTAATGGCAACTTACTTTCCCTTCTGTTTTAATTGGCTACAATATTCTATCCTTGCATCCATATGATTAAAATAGGTTGTAAACAGTTGGGGCCTGAGAACCAAACTCTATGGCTCCCCAAAAGTTACATCTTGCCAACCAAACACCTATTAATCCCAACTTTCTGCTGGTTAGCCAAACCTCTATCCAAGCTAATTAGTTACCCCAGACTCCATGTGATCTTACCTTGTGTGCTAACCTTTTGAGCAGCACCTGAACAAGTGTCTTCTAGAATTCCAGAAGACCCCCATTATCCACTTTGCTTGTTCCATCTTTGAAGAACTCTAGCAAATTAGTCAAACATGATTTACCCTTCATAAAACTATGCTGACTCTGATGGATTGTGTTTTGATTTTCCAAATGTCCCATCACTATTTTCTTAACAATGGATTCTAACAATTCTCCACTGACAGATGTTAAACCAACTTGTCTTCGGTTTCCTACTTGCTGCCTCCCTCACATTTTGAATAAGAATGTTACATTAGAAATTTTCAAATCCACTAGAATTTTTCCAGAATCCAGAGAATTTTGGAATATTATATTCAATGCAGCCACTATGTAGGCCATTGGGTCCTGGGACTTGTCTGTCTTTAATTCTTACAATAGTGACAGCAATTGTTTTAAGTTAATTAAGTTCCTAATGGGATGGTTTCAGTGACCCATTGTGAAAACTAAGACAAAACCTTGACAGAAATCACATGATACAGGTGAAGTCAGACTTCACCTGACAAAGCAGCATGCTCTGATGGCTTGTGATTCCAAATAAAACTGTTGGACCATAATCTGATATCATGTGACTTCTGATTTATCCACCCCAGTCCAACACCAGCACTTACACATCGTAAAATACTGATTTAGCATCTCCGCCATTTCCACAAAATGTCCCGATGACTGAAAGATGAAAATCCTCACGTATCACCCCATCAACCTCCAGATTCAATGCATCATTCTCCGCCACGTCCGCTACCTGCAATCTGACCCCACTACCAAGGATATATTTCCCTCCCCACCCTTATCTGCCTTCCGGAGGGACCGCGATCTCCATGACGCCCTCATCTGCTCCACACTCCCCACTAGCCCCACCACCCCTGGCACTTTTCCCTGCAACTGCAGGAAGTGCTACACCCACCCCTACACCTCCCCCCTCATCTCCATCCCAGGCCCCAAGAAAACCTCCCACATTAAATAGATGTTCACCCGCACATCTGCTAATGTGGTATATTGTATCCGCTGTGGCCTCCTCTACATCAGGGAAACCAAGCGGAGACTTGGAGACCGCTTTGTGGAGCACCTACGCTCGGTTTGTGACAAATGACAACACCTCCCAGTCACAAACCACTTCAACTCCCCCTCCCACTCCCACTCCCTGCACGACATGTCCATCCTGGGCCTCCTCCAGTGTCACAGCGATGCCACCCAAAGGCTGGAGGAACAGCATCTCATATTCTGCTTGGCAACCCTGCAGCCCAATGGTATCAATGAGAACTTCACAAGCTTCAAAATTTCCCCGCCCCCGACCGCATCCCTAGACCAGCCCATCTTGTCCCCACCTCCTTGTCTTTTCTCCCACCTAGCCGCTCCCCCCACCTCACTGCCCAACCCCCGCCCCCCCTTCCTACCTACTAGCCTCATCCCCGTCTCCCTGACCTGACAGTCTTCCCTCCCACCTATCCGCTCCTCCCTCCTCACTGACCAACCCCCATCCCAACTCCCTACCTTCACTCACCTTTACTGGCTTCCCTGCCTCCTTGACCTGTCTGTCTTCTTCCACCTATCTGCTCTTCTATCTACCTTTCATCATCGTGTCCCCCTCTCTATTTATTTCAGCACCCCCTCCCCCATTTCTGAAGAAGGGTCCAGACCTGAAATGTTAGCTTTCTTGCTCCTCTGATGCTGCTTGGCCTGCTGTGTTCATCCAGCTCTACACCTCGTTATCTCAGACTCCAGCATGGGCAGTTCCTCCTATCTTGAAGCTTCAACGTGTCTTTTTTGAGCAATACTCATGTTCTATTTGTTTTATCAGTGACTATTAATTCTTAGCTTTTTATGAAGGATATAAACAGATGATAATGTCACTCTGTTCATTGCTTTCCGAATTGTACCATTGGACAGCACTCAATCTTTCATTATGAGTCCTTTGAAAGTGCATTGCTTGTTTATTTGTCTCCTCAGTGACGTCCTTCGGCCCATTTCATCATCCAATTTGTGATCCTGTAGTTATTGATTTGTCAAGTCCCATATCACCTATGAACTTTATAATCTGGTTCCAAATCACAGTCGAGAGTTAGGGTGAACTTGAAAAGTGTAAATGAAACCTAAAATCAGCACGTTCCTCTAGCATTACCTTCAGCTCCTGTCTCTGATTCCATCCTATTTCCAGAGACACTTTCACAATCACCTTTTTGGCTTCCATTTCGAGATTGTTCCACTTGGGCGGATATCAGAACGGTGAGTTTATCAAACCAAACTGAAGCTTTCACTATTTCCAACAATTCTACAAACTGCTGCAGAAAAAAACATCCTGCCCCTGAAACAGTATCAATGTGGACTTCACAAGCTTCAAAATCTCCCCTCCCCCTACCGCATCCCAAAACCAGTCCAGCTCGTCCCTGCCTCCCTAACCTGTTCTTCCTCCCACCTATCCCCTCCTCCCACCTCAAGCCGCACCTCCATCTCCTACCGACCAACCTCATCCCGCCCCCTTGACCTGTCCGTCCTCCCTGGACTGACCTATCCCCTTCCTAACTCCCTACCTACACTCACCTTTACTGGCTCCATCCCCGCCTCTTCGACCTGTTTGTTTCCTCTCCACCTATCCTCTCCTCTATCCCTCTTCTATCCGCCTCCCACTCTCTCCCTATTTATTTCAAAACCCCCTTCCCCTCCCCCTTTTCTGATGAAGGGTCTAGGCCCGAAACGTCAGCCTCTCTGCTCCTATGATGCTGCTTGGACTGCTGTGTTCATCCAGCCCTGCACCTTGTTGTCTCAGCATCACTTCCGTTTCCGGAAACCCATGGTGCCTGTAGTATCCATCGTCGCCAGCGGGGTGTGTAATTCTACCTAGCCACCAGCAGGGGGAAGAATAATGAGCCACTAGCCGAAGGACTGTAATACACCGGGATCACCAGCAGGGGGGAATGTAATATCTCTTGAGGGGAGCAGACTCATGGTGGAAGCGTACATGGCAGGGAAGCTTTGGGCACACGAAGCTCAGATAGATCAATCCAAAGTGGGAAGCTGAGAGCTAGAAAACCAGAGGCTTGGAGCTGGGAACCCAAGAATGGGGAAACTGATTGATTTATTGTCACATGTACTGAAATACAGTGAAAAGCTTTGTTTATGAGCGGTACAGGCAGATCACAGCAAGCAAAGGATGTACAGATCAAAAATGCATAGAGGCATACAGTTTACATTGCAGGTACATTATTTGAGGCTAGCGTCCATTCAACAGTCTGATAACAGCCAGAAAGAAGCTGTTCTTGAACCCACTTGTGCGTTTGTTCAGGCTTCTGTATTTTCTGCCTGACAGAAGAGGTTATAGGAGATCATTATTGGGATGCGATGGGTCTTTGATGAAGTTAGCTGCCTTTCTGCAGCAGTGAGCCGTGTAAATAGAGTCCATAGATGGGAGGTTGACTTCCATGATGGTCTGGGCTGTGCACACCACCTTCTGTAGTTTCTTATGGTCCTGGGCAGAGCAGTTGCCATACCAGACCGTTATGCACCCAGACAGTATGCTTTCAATGGTGCATCTGTAAAAGTTGGTGAGGGACCTAAAGGACATGCCAAATTTCCTGAGCTGCCTGAGGAAGAAGAGGCATTGTTGGGCCTTCTTGACTGTCGCATTTACATGGGAATTCAAGGACAGGTCGTTGTTTATCGTTACTCTGAGGACCTTGATGCTCTTCACTCTCTCAACCTCAGTTCCGTTGATGTAGATGGGGGCATGTTCTCCTCCTTTCTGTCTGAAGTCCATGATCAGTTCTTGAATTTTGCTGATGTTGAGAGACAGATTGTTTTCATTGCACCATGTCATCAAGCCCTCTATCTCTCTTCTGTATTTTGACTCGTCATTGTTAGATATCCGTCCCACTACGGTGGTGTCATCAGCAAACTTGTAGATGGTGTTTGTTTGGAATTTGGCAACACAGTCATAGGTGTACAGGGATCGGAATGTGGTGAGCCATGATTAGGGGATGCCTGCTAAAGCAGGGACACTAGTGACCAGTGGCCCAAAGTGGGATTGCCAGCAGCCCGGTGTGAAGCGGGGGCCTTGGCCTAGTGCAGTGTGTGGTGGCAGCCAGTGGCCAGACCATGTGGAGGCCCCTTGTGCTGGTCTGCTGCAGAGAGCTCTTCGAGAGAGACTGTGATGTTAGTCTTTTAACTTCTTATTTTTCTGACCTATGGTTATATCGTGTATAGCTGTAATGTAATGTTTTTTCTTCATTTCTCTATTCTGTAACTAAAGATTATGTTGTGGTGATATTGTTACACTGTAACTAATGTTGTAAATGAAGAAGCTGTACTTATGGCCTTTGAACCTAGGAGAGCACTGTAAGTGGCAACTGATCAACTTTTCACTGTACTCATTTGAGTACATGTGACAATAAAGCTAATTCAATTCAATTCAATTCAATTCACATATGGCAGGAAGCTATGGGATTGGTGAAAAGACCTCTGGAGTGAAGAGCTGAGTGTGTTGGGGGTGTAGGAGCTGACATTTTGGGTGATCTGATGGTGGAAGCCAAATAAATTCACTGGCAGATTGGATACATTAGTTCTTCTTATGTTCCGTATGTGTTCCATATTAACCCACAGATTTCCGAAGTAATAAAACGACCACATGATGAGAAACAAATTCAACTGGTAATATGACCACTCCACCAGAAGCCCTGACAATAAAACTGAAATTATTACTAATTCAGTAGGTGTTTCAGACATTTTGAATGGTAATACTATTACATCTTCTGGAATTTGCTTCAGGGACCAGCTGTACTGGTGACATCACCAAATCTTATGGTGCGATGGAGCTGTTCAAATGGGAATATTATCTGTTCTACTCATGGCTCACTATCTTGGAGCAGTAAAATTGATGTTTCACCACTTCATCAGTTAAAAGGTGCTTTCAACCAGAGTCATGGAGTTGTTATAGCACAGAAAGAGATTGCTTGGCTTATTGTGTCATCAACATCTCTCTTTCACTGGACCTGAAACACACAACTGCCACCTGACCTGCTGAGCCTTTCCAGCAATTTCTGTTTTTGTATTTATTCTAATCCCAGCTGTGGGATTCAAGTGCTCATCTAAATACTTCTTAGATGTCTTGATGGTTCCTGCCTCTATCATCCTTTTAGATCAGAAATCACACAACACCAGGTTATAGACTAACAGCTTTATTTGAAAACACAAGCTTTTGGGGCCTCACTCCTTCTTCAGGTGTTAGTGAGAGAGGTAGTATCAGACACAGAATTTATAAGTAAAAGATCAAAAGTTCACACCACTGATCAGGATATATTAAACAAACCTAAGATGCTTTTAAATCTTTAATCAGTTAGAAGGTTTTAATTGATTAATATGTATACGTAAATCCATGAATTTCATTCAAGTCACTGCCCTGAGAGAACTAAAGGTTTTATCAGTGTAAAGAAGAGGTGACATTTTAGGTCACACAATGCATGTTAGATGTGAGGCTTTATTTAAAACCTATTTGTGTTTTGGTTTGGAGTCAGACTGGTTTTATTTCTAAAGTGGGAATTTATAAAATGCCACATTGATTGACCATCTATATATTATGTGCTTTTTGAACAAAATAGAACGTATCTGCAAATACAAATTCACCCAATAGATTCACACATGTGTTTGTGTGTCTGTGTGTGAGGGAGAGAGAGAGAGTGTGTGTGTGGGGTGGGAGAGTGTGTGTGTGTGGGGGGGGAGGGAGTGGGTTTGTGTGTGTATGTGGGTGCGCGTATGTGGGAGAGAGAGTATATGTGTGTTT